ATGAGAGTCTCAGTCCCTGTCCACTGCGGTCTCATGAAGCTCTTTCCATCTCTGTCTCAGTCAGGACGGGGTTTTGGATTTCCTGCCTAAATGTCACCTCTGTCCCTAGACAAGGAAAAAAGATACAAATTTATTATTTAAATTATATCTATTAATTTTCTAGTATTGATTTGCCTACTAGCAAGTAAAAGAAAACAGTCTTGGTTATTATGTTTCTTAAAGAATAAAAAAAACCTTTGGGCTAAAGGTCCCCTCCTCTGTCAAACTGTAAGGGCCCTGTCTGGCTTAAAGCCATTTGTGCCTACAATAGACTGATGAATCTTATCATTTGCTAGACAACCTGAGTCACCAGGTTTCAGAGGAATTATCTGGATTTGAGAGAGAGGGGGCCTTTTTCCCAAAGAAACGAAGAAAGGAAAAAGATCTGTATATACTTAAAAAAAAAAAAGTCTGTAAGTTTGTAAATGAATGATGGTTCATATTAAAGGCAAGGGCTTGCCATCAGACGCCTACAATACCTACAGGGTTCAAGTGAGTTCCTCTCTTCTTGAGATCTCTAACTCTGACTCTCCCAGTGCTGCCTGGTTTCTTGCAGATCTGATTTTTGCAACATTTCTGCAACAACACGAGTATCTCCCTACATCCCTGCACTTGACGAAGTCCTTGGTGACAGGTTCAGGACACACCATCCCTAGATATGGTGCCTAAGAATATTGGATATTTTAAGATGAAGGTATTTGAGAAACTGGCAAGTGCAAGGACTTTAATCTCCCCCTCTCCCCTGAGGCAGGTCGGTGGTATGGCCCTCGGTGAAAGATGCCTTCTCCACCTCCTGAAGGAATGAGCACCCTTACCTCAGCAGAAGGGAGGAGATGAGAGGAATCTGAAAGAACAAGCCTTGCGAAGTTGCCCCCTTGCCACTACCCTTGGGCTCATGCCCTTTGTCCCATTGTTACCAGAGAGTGGGGTCCTCTTCCAGCATGTTCTCCAGGTTCTTGATGTCTTGAACAGAGAATTGAGCAAGACACCAAAATACAGTAGAAAAGAAAAGTTTTATTAGCAAGAAAAGTCCACTTCCAGACGTGGAAACAGGCCTGAGCAAGAGAAGTGTGGCTCAAAAGGCTTAGTGATTTCATCCCTTTTTGCTGTGGGCGGTCACTTTTCTTAGAGGGGTGGGCTTCCTTGATTGACATCTAAGACTAACAGGACTCAGTGATGCATCATTTTGCGTTCTGCGCATGTTCGTTCCCAGAATTCAGTCTGTTGTAATGATATTAATGAAGTTCCGGGCATTTGCATCATATTATAATGATGGTATAATGAGACTCAGGTGAGTTGAAGATTGTTGGGGTCTTCATTGCGCAGGAACAAGTGACTGGCTTAAACTGGTACCTAAATCTCTGCCTACTGGTATCAATGCCTTCTGGCTTGCTTAATTGTGGGCGGATTAGGGTGGACGCTTCTAGGATAGGATGACCTCAGTGTCTTTGCAGGCAGACCCAAAACCTCCTTACTAACTTTCTTGCCTACCTCATTTCTAAGAGCCATGAACCTATTATAAGTATGGATGTTGAGGGACGGGAGGTCTCTTCCATATCTGCTTCCTGCAGAGAATGTC